CCCCCTGCCCCTCCCTGCCACTCTAATCCAGACACTGGCATCTGTGGCTTCCGACCTGGTCGCCCACCTCCACTCTAGTGCCCAGGTATCTGTCTTCACCAAAGCAGCTGGTGGGATCTTTAGAAAATACATGTCAGACCATGTCGCCTCTCAGCTTAGAACCCTCAGGCGGATTTCCAGCCCACTTAAAAATCCACTGACCATGGCTGGGAGTGGTGGCTCATGCCTGTAATCCTAGCACTTTTGGAGGCCAAGGTGGGAGGATCACTTGAGGCCAGGAGTTCAAGACCAGCGTGGGCAATGTAGTCAGACCACAATGCTACAAAAAAATTTAAAAATCAGGCATAGTGGTGCACACCTGTAGTCGTCCCAGCTATTTGAGAGGCTGAGGCAGAGGACTGTCTGAGCCCAGGGGTCAAGGCTACAGTGAGCTATGATCATATCACTGCCCTCTAATCTGGGCAACAGCAGGAGAACCTGTCTCTAAAACAAAACAAAACCCTGGGAGGTCTCTGTGAGCTGCCCCAGCCCAAGGCCACACTGACCCGCCCTGGACCAGCCCCTCCTCCCTGCTCCCTCTTATCTGCTTAACCCACGGATCCCTCGCCTCTCTCCTGCTCAGTCATTTTATTTTTCTCGAAGACATATACTACCCCAAATTATATGCATATCTATTTGGGTTACACATACAAACTATGTGTCTGTTTTGATTATCGCGTGTCACGGCTTGTCTCCCCCTGACAGCTAAAACTCATCCCGGCCAGAGCCGCCACACCCCCAGCTCCTGACCGCCCCACTCCTACTGGGTGGATGGCGGGCACTCGACGGCGCCCCCAGGTGCCAGTCTCCCAACAACACATCTCCCCCGACAGCCACGGACTCGGAGATGATGGCTCATTGAGGAGCCCCAGCTTACAGCGGAAAGGCACTGGCCGCCACCTCCCCTCCTCGCCTGCCCACAGCACCGGGTTGCACACCTGCAAGGGTCCCCAGCTTCCAGGCCCACACAGCGCCCGTGCCTGTTCCCAGGACCTTCTGGGGGACCAGGACATCCTCCTCTCCACCCTCGAGACCAGCCGGTGCGCACCACAGAGCTGGCAGAGCTGCGGAGCTGGCACCTGAGTGTGCCAAGAGGCGTCGAGCCAGCTCCTTTCAACAGACAGCGCCGAGGACAACCCAGCCTGGAGCAAGGGCATGAGGCACGCGTGGTGCCGAGTCGGCAGGAGAGACCCCCCCATGACCTGTGGGGCCCCGCGGCCCAGCCACCCGCTGGGGCACCCGCTGGCAGGACAAGAGGGCCTGCCTGGGACCATCCGTGGGTGTGCTGGGTCCTGACGGGCAGCCGCAGCTGCCTACGCACGACCCAGCGACGGCAGGCGGACTCCAAGGAGCCATGGGGTTCCTCCCACGGACAGGGGGACGAGGGCGGTAATGCTCACGTCCTTCCAGGCAGCCCGAAGAGCAAGCCAAGGCTTCTCCCTCGAGCGATCTGTACCCAAGGGCTCCCCTCTGGCAAGAACAGCCCTGCGACCCGTCCAGCCCCGCGTCGCTCGGGAAGCTGAAGCTGGATCCCACAGAAGCGTGTGATGTGCCCATGGCCTCCCAGGTGCCGCCTCCTCAGGGACGAAGACGGCACGAAGCATCTCCTGGGACCCCGCTTCCTGCCTTCATCTGCACCTTCTTCTGCGCTGAGCTCAGCGCTTGCAGGCCTCTCTGAAATAAGCTCTGCCCTTGAGACTAAAGTCAAGTTGATCTCTGTGATGAATGAAGTAAGATCAGAGGATGGGAGAAGGCTGGTCTCCAACTCCTGGGCTCAGGCGATCCTCCCAGCTCGGCCTCCCAAAGTGCTGAGATCGCAGGCATGAGCCATCATGCCCAATCCAATTGTTTAGTCTCAAAAAAACAGAATGCTGTTTTCACCAAGGCTCGCTGCTACTCAGGAAACAGAGATGCAATTGAAAGCCTGGCTTTTCTGTGGGCATTCTTCCTTCGAGCTTTGAAATTAAGAGTCAACCTCAAGTGCTCTTGCCAGGAGCCTGATACACAGAGACCTGATGTTCTCAGAACTTCCGTTCAAACTCCCCTACCCCTCAGGAAAAAAAAAAAGACACACAAGGGCCACGGTGCCAAGAGCTCCAGAGTTTACCTTCACTCTCCGAACACGGACATCTGGGGGTGTGCCAGAACCCCAGGGATTCTGCTGGCTGACATAGCTGGGAAGCACCTGACCACCCGGTCATCCCGGATATCTTAATGGTATGTAATATTCCAACAGCAGTGGCCATTCCGTCTCAGGAGTGACACACCCCAAGGAGAACCCTTGTGTCCCTGATCTTGGGAAGCCAAGCAGCAGATCTGAGTCCCTGACATCAGCGGGCAGAGAAGTTACAGCAGCTGCCGGGTATCCTCAGTGCAAGAGACAGCTCCACTGATCCCACCTGTGTGGCACTGAACGTCTCTGAGCCTTCCCACCCCACAAGGTCCCACGGCGCTTAAGAGAAAAGTAAGCTCAAGCACGGAGCACAGCGCCAGAGGCCGAGCTCAGAATGCTCCCGGCCTCGGCTCTCGCAGCTCCAAAGACCCAAGCGGACGCTGTGGGAGGCAGACTGCCTGGGTTCACACCCTGGCTCTGCCACTCCGTCGCTGGGTGGCTCCCCTCACCTGCCGCTTGCCTTAGAGGTTAACACACAGAGGACTCGAGCAGCGGGCCGGGTACCCCGTAGTGTTACAACCACAAGCACGTTCTTACATCCAAGGCGGGGCTGAGCAGAGAATCCCACAGCCTGTCTGGCTCCGCAGAGGAGTGTGCGTGACCGTGGGCATCTCTCCTCACAAGTCAGACCTCCCAAACAGCCACTTTTCCACTAGGCCAACAGCTCAGGTATGTCTGCACGTCAGTCACGCAGCTCCTCTCCCTGGTGCAGTCACGGGATGGTGATAGATTCCGACTGGCTCACAAGCCCTGCAGGGCCAGCTGAGCCAAGGCGGCATCCTCATGGGGATGCCTGCCGCAGCAGAGGGCTCCCTCTAGCGTCCGGCTTGGCCGCTCTGAGTCTCCCCAGGGTGGCCCCCTCCATCGCTGGCTCAGCCGCCGCCTCCGAGTGGGAGATGGCACCTGCCTCATGGGCTCATGATCTGGAAATGGTGTGTGGAAACTTCCTGGTCAACTAGGCAGCACTCACTGTTTTTAAAAACACTTTGAAAGAGTCACTTGAAAATGCTCAGCAAAGCACTGTCCCATCATTATGCTATCCGGAGGAACATTTCTGCCCAAGTGCCCCCAGAGCAGAGGCCTCAGCGCTTGGCTGTTTCCCTGTAGGGAGAGTCCAGAGGGAGCTGCGAGTCGCCAGGAGAGAAGAGAAGGCAGAGGGCCTCGCAGCTCCCCTGGGTGTGGAGCCAGCACTGTCGGTCCCTGACCCTGGCCCACACTCAGTCGTGCGTATTTTCAAGAGCTTACCTGGCTGAGAGGATGAAGGAACGTTCTACACTTTCAATCTTCAGCTCATTCTGATAAGCTTCCTGGGTGGGCTTTCCGACCTGGAAGAAAGCACAACCTGAGCAGACTCTCCTGCTGGAACCACATCTTGGAGGTGCTGCTGCAGCTGCCTGCGCCCCACTGCGGACAGACGTCTGGAGCCCGCCTTCTGCCAGCCTCACCTCCGGCCCCTCCCCACCGCCGACTCTGACACCCACGCACGCCCAGCCCTCCCGCCCGCAGGGCCTGCTCATGGCAGCCCTCCTCCGAACGCCCCTCCCCGACCCTCCGCACACGTGGCAGAACGCAGCCTCTGCTCGAGGCCCACGGGCCTCTCCTCCAAGGAGTCTCCCTCAACTTGCCAGTCCTTCCACTGTGGCATCAGAAATCATGTGTTCTTTAACTTCTGAACTCGCCCAAGCACCTGTACCTGGACAATGGCATTTTTTGCTGTCTCCTGCATAGGGGCTCATGTGCAGTGTGCGAGCCTCCCAACCGGCTGCGAAGTCCTAGGCAAGGGGAAGTTGCAGTCGAGGCAGACACAAAAGAACCGCGCCTCAGCTCACTTTCTATTTCCCACCAAGCCCACTGCTGCATTGTGTTTATGTCGTTCGCGGTTAACACGTGAACAAATGGTCCCGTGAACGAACACCTGAGTGCACTGCAGCAACATACGAAGGCCGGAGAGCTAATGACAGGACAAAGACGAGTGTCTCAGGGACTTTGCTCTCAGCGTGTAACTTTGTACCTTTGAGTTTCAAACCGTCTCCTAACAACTGCACAGACCTTCATTCCAGCCAGGGACAGCATGTTGTTCAGCTTATACATCCCAGACGGCACGGGTGTCGTGTACAGCAAGGCGTCATTGAACTGAAAGCAGAAACAGCCCACGGGACAAAGTGAGGAAGTAGGTTCCAGCTACAAAGATACTGACGAGATACAAGAACAGAGAAAAAGCCGGGCTCGGTGGCTCAGCCTGTAATCCCGCGCCTTTGGGAGGCTGAGGTGAGTGGATTGCCTGAGCCCGCGGGTTCGAGACCCGCCTGGGCAGCGAGACCTCATCTCTACAATAAATCAAAAAATCAGCCGGGCGTGGTAGCGCATGCCTGTAATTCCAGCTACTTGGAAGGCTGAGGCGGAAGGATCGCCGGAGCCCAACAGGCGAGGTTGCGGTGGCCGGGGGCGGCCACCG